ACGATGAGACGTCTATTGTAGTAATCTTATGTTTTATGCTAATCATGCCATGTATGGTTATTTTGTACTAGTCTTATGTTTTAATGCAACCAATGATTAATGAGTATGTGTTAAACAATTTTTTTTTTTGTTTCATAGAATGAGTACCCAACAGGAAACACAATCTCAAAATAGGCAGAATAAGGGAAAATCCTCTCAAGTACCAGCTATTAAGGCTCATTGGGATGCAAAATCAAATGAAATCTTTATTAAGCTTTGTGTTGACCAAGTGAAGGTCAGACACAGACTTGGTACACACTTAGATACGGTCGGGTGGGAAAATGTCATAACTTCGTTTGAAACTATGACTGGAAAAACATACCAATGACTACAAATGAAAAACCATTGGGATGTGTTGAAAAAAGATTGGCTTTTGTGGAACAATCTTTTAAGGGGTGAGACCGGCTTAGGCCGTGAAACATTGACTGGAGCTATATCTGCATCTGATGAGTGGTGGACCAACAAATTGGAGGTATTTAAATTGCTTAATGTACATATTATGTTTGTTTTTGTTGTTTAAACGCACCAAATTTTGATAATTGTAAATGTTTATTTTTTTCTTTGTAATTGTTGCAGAGGTATCCTGATGCTGCTAAATTTCGGCGTATGCCGTTGCAATTTAGTGAAGACTTAGACATACTATTCTCAGATGCAGCTGCTACAGGAGAATGGGCATACACTCCTAGTTCAGGGGTTATGCCTGACGTTGATGACAATGTGGAGGAATTTCATACCCCACATGATGCTGAATATGATGATGATGCTTTGGAGGTGATTCATCCCTCTGAGTTAAACAAAAAGCGTTCATCAAACACACCTGCTTCATCAACCAAGAGCAAGAAGACGAAATTTACTGGTGCAGCTCTACTTAACAAGACACTTGCTCGCATAGTCAATGTGGTTGAGTCATCTTCAGGAACTTCAACACAGACCTCATCAAGATATCCTTCAATTGCAGATTGTTTGGCGATGTTGGAAAACATCCCTGGTGTGTCCCCGGATGATGACCTGTATGTATGGGCCGCCCGATTGTTCTTACGAGACAAGCGTCGCGAGTGTTTCATGAGTCTTCCTACGGATGAAGTTCGCCTTAAGTTTCTGAAGTTGGAGATTGAGAATGGAGAAGGCCACCACAAGTTATCGCGGCTAATTGTGGACTGTCCCGTTGTTATTAATTGTGGAGTGTTCTGTTGGACTTCTTATTTTAGTAATTGTGGACTATTGCAATATTTCCCTAATATTTCCTTCTATGAAAATTGACTAGTTGGACTTTTAATTGTGGACTTATTATTTCAAATTTTATTAAATTATGTTGGACTAAATTGTTGAATGGTTGGTGAATGGTTGACATGTTGACTTGTTGACTTGTTGAATGGTTGGGGAATGCAGTTAGTTGTTGAATGTTAGTTGAATATGCCTGGTAGGTCAATGGTGAAGGTTATATACATGTATATGTAGTTGAATGGTTTACTCAATTCATTTTTGTGCTTTACATTGTTTTTCCTTTACATTTCTATCTGTCCAGGTAATAATTTTGTTGAAGTTGAAGGTATAATTTTCTTACTTTACATTTTAATGTTTCACCTATGTCATTTTTGTATGGCCATTATTTGTTCATATGACAGGTTGAAATGTAAAGCATGAAATGTATGACAGGTTGCATGAAATGGATAAATGGATGACATTATTTGTTATGACATTATTTGTTCATATGGCCATTATTTCTTTATTTGGGATAAATGGATGACAGGTTGCATGAAATGTAGCTATGGAATTTTTGTGATGGAATACTACTTTCTTAGTCCCATAGTCATAACAGTCTTCTTTCCCATGGAACTGCTTCTTAAACTGTCATCACAGTGCTGCTTGCTTGAATTGCATTCATGTCCACAGGCTTAATTGTCATAACAGAACTTCATCGTAATTTTGATCTGTTTGAATTTCTAGATTATGGGTTTTGACATATGAATTCCCATGTTAAAGAATATTTCCCTGAGAGGGTATAACTGCAAAATTAGATTCACAGAGACAGGGGAGAGAATAAGTGAGAAGAGAAGCAAGTATATATGTGGAATTCTTCATAAACGCATGCCAATGGATTTTGACTTCTGGGCATAACTTTGAATTCTGAATTTTAAACTACCACATGTAAGGACTTTCTAATAAGCCATGATGTTGGGTAAAACAAGTTTTGGTCTTTTTCCTTATGAATTGTTGTCCTCTGGCACTCTGTCCGGCCCCTTATTTATTTTTTATTTTTATTTATTTATTTATTTTTTCATCCTCTATCAGAAAAAATAAAAAATAAAAATTCAACATATGAGGAATGCTTCAGGATTTTAGTATATCTGGACAAGTTATGATATTTTATTATCATTTATTGGTTTTTGTTTATAGTTTTAAATTGCAACATGGTTTATCCAGCAAACTTGACAGTTTTAAAGATGAGTAGCAATGCTGAAGACCAATGGAATGATGACCATGATGATGAAGATACTGATGAGGAAGGCAGCACATCACAAACCCAACAAAATAATAATATGCTCTTAGTTACGGCGGCTACAGTTGCAGCGACATATGCAACAAATTATTTGATAAAAGAACCATGCAGGACATCTTGTTTAACAGGAGGGATGTGGATGGTGGAATTACAAGAAGGGAATCGGACAAGAATATTTGAAAATTTTCGAATAGAAAGAGAGGTATTTTATCAATTGTGTAATTTGTTACAAACAAATTATGACCTTCAAACTGGACGACAAGTCTCGGTTGAAGAGCAAGTTGCAATATTTTTGTTTATTGTTGGCGGTGACATTCGAAACAGAAATGTCCAAGAAAGATTTCAACATTCTGGCGAGACTATTTCAAAATATTTTAAGAAGGTGTTAAAGGCTGTTACAAAGATGTCCATTGACTGGATAAGGCCTCAACCGACTAATGGTGTGCATCCATATATTCGACGCAACCGCAAATATTATCCTCATTTCAAGGTAAATAATTAACTACAAGCGCAACTTGGGTGTTACATATAATTAATGTTGGTAGGATATTTATACTAATCTGTGGCTAAAATGTTTTTTATTCATTATCATGTCATAGGATTGTATTGGAGCAATTGACGGGACACACATCAAAGCATATATATCTCCAGATAAGCAAGCTCGTCTAATAGGTAGAAAGGGATATGCGACTCAAAACATAATGGCTGCATGTGACTTTGATATGTGTTTCACATTTTGCTTACCAGGATGGGAAGGAAGTGCACACGATACTCGGATCTTCTTAGATGCAATTAGGAATCCTAGTTTTAATTTTCCAAAACCACAAGGAGGTAACTGTTTTATATTCGATTGCTACAATAGATGCACCACACTCAC